CCATGACTTTTTTTCCAACTGTTTGTCCATCAATCCCAAAAGAAAAACTTCTGGTCTCAATTGTAGATTAGTCTTTAAAATCTTCTGAATCACCAAAGCTCTTCTGTAGCTGCTTTTCAGCCTGATTGTTATCTCTGATAAGTCAGACTAAAAGGAATGTCCTCAGATTTGCAAAAATGATGGTGATAGCAGAACTTGAGGAGCGACAGAAAGAGAGACCTTGGTGTGTTAATTAATACTAGTGAATCTGTCAGGAACCCCCCCCCCCCCCAAGGCAAGCAGGTTCTAGACAGCAGAGGGCAGTAGCATCACACGGACTAGGCCACAGGAAGGGGACTTCAGGAAAAGTATCTGGTTGGGGGCAAAGTGAAAAGTGTGACTGATTAGGGGCAAGGCCAGTCCTGCAAATATTGTCAACACTGAAATGAGAAAGGCAGTCATGAATCTTTTTCCAAGGTCTCACCACCACTGATCTCAATGCAAAGTGAAAGAGGATGCTTTGATCTAGAATCTGCCATTGAAGTGTAGTTCTCCCCAATAAGTGATTGTTTGCAATAATAGACCACTGGCTGAGAACAAGCCCTTCTATTTTCCTTGGCAGAACCTGCAGCAACTTTAAATAGTCTTTTCACCCATGTCCACTGCCGTCATTTGACGCACGCCGATGCAGACTGCCTGCACAATCAGTTTTGTGCTACAAGATGTGGGTCTGCTTCACAACCAATGTAAGTGATCTGCATTGCAGCATAGACATAATCACACGCATAATAGCGATCTGGATGGATTGCAGGAAACAGCAAGAGCGCCAGGTCATCCTGCAGTGCATCTCATTAATATGTTGGGCCATCCTCTCACTCTTCCTACCTTTCATTTCAGACCTGCAGGACACGAGTAACAGCATGGCCTTTGGCTTGTCATCTTGGAATTCTCAGCCAAGTATCTCCAGATACAACAGATTTAGGACCCTGTTGAAGGCACTTGGCAGGTGGCCTCCAGCCGTGGATTCAACCCCAGGACATGTTCTTAGCCAAATACCAGTTCCTTACCCACTCATAAGGCAGTACAAACAGTGCGTGTCTGAAGCACATCAAAACACTTTGTGCATGAATCAGAAATTTAGAGGGACCGTAAGGATTATTTAGCCCAGTCCTCTGAAATGTGCAGGGAAACCAATCAAACTGTCCTCCATTGGTGGCTGTCCGGCCTCTTAGCTTCTCGTTCTATGTCTGAATACAGCTATTGCGTCTCCCTTAAGTTTTCTTTCCTTCACGCTGAACATCTCAAATTCCTTCACCCTGTTCTCACAGAACATGTCCTCAAGTCCCTGCAACTCAACCGCTCTAGGTAGACCAGACCAGGAAATCAACTCCACAGGAAAGCTAAAACTACTTTTATTGAGATGGCTATATAATAACAAAATTTTGGAAATCTGTGCTCTACCTCCTCACACTTCTTATAACTCAGTAAATTAGGGGGCATCTGCCTGAGCCATTTCCTAGCATTATCTTATTGCTCTAGACTTTAAAAATGCCTGATCCTCTTTGGCCTAAGCAAGAGATCCTGCGTATCTCCATCAAGGTCGTCTTCCTTACTTTCTACACTATATCATGAAAACCAACATCATGAATGAGATTGTTCTCAG